GGCGTTTAAAATATTAGTCGATTCTGTCATAGATAAAATTTTTAAAAAATATATAAACTTGAAATAAAGTTTGATTTTTTGTAAAAAGAAAGTGCTCTCCATAGAGGGGTCTCGAACCATAGACCTCCCAATTCGTAACCGGGTGCACTAGCCAGATGCCAAAAACACGTATATGATTTACTTGTTTCGGAAGTTGTATTTCTAGAAATTCATCGTTTATTCAACTGCTTACTATTGTCGTTTCACTTACTTTATATATAAGCAGAATAATATAAAGATGCACACCAGTTAAGAACTTTCGCGCCACCTTTCTCCACGTGGACGAACAATTACGGACAGAGATAATACTCATTTCCATATTTGCTTCTCAAGATTATTGATTCCAGGTAATGAAGTCAGCTAATTATATTCTCATAGTAAATCTTATTGAGTTTACACTGGGCGCTGGAATTGAAGATTGCAAATAAAAAAATATTTATAAGATTATAAGAACCAGCGGCAGCAGTAACAGCAATAGGAGACCCCTCAGCGAGAGAGGATCCGCAATCGCTCAAGTCGCCGGTTGTGCGGCACGAGCGGGCGTTTAAAATATTAGTCGATTCTGTCATAGATAAAATTTTTAAAAAATATATAAACTTGAAATAAAGTTTGAGCAACCTAGAAAGGTTAAAAGAGAGGAACCTTGAACAATTTTTGTAGTAAAATGAAAAAAAAAAGAAGATGAAAAAAGAGTGCTTCATGGGGGATCGAACCCGTAACCAGCAGCGTTATATCTTGACAGGTTATTGACTCAGCCACGATGCTCGTTTAATTCTAAATTAAATTTATTATAGATATTTATCTATGATATTTCAAAATTTCTCTTTGAACTGTTCTCGGTCGTTTCATTTACCAACGAATTCGCCATTCATTTTTTGATGTTCATTTTCGGCAGGATAAGAAGTAAAGAGTGAAAACCAATACTTCTATGCATTTTTTATAACTTTGAAATTTATTTGAATATACACATTTGTTAGCGCATTACGTCCATACAAATGTTTAGGTTTCGGTTGGATGGAAGACCTTGCTGCCCCGCCTGTTTGTCAAGAACGGTTTTTGAGGGACAGCAACTTTTTCCCCACCACCGAGCAATCCATTCATTTCGCTGACTGCAATATCGGCTGGAACGATGATCATGACCCGCGCGGCTACGCGAATCTGTAACATCGACAGAGGCGATGATCACGAAATCCTACTCCCGGACTCGCCGCTACGATTTAGTGCCATGGTTTTGGTATCGTCTAAAACCGGAGCGTTGTGCATCTCCCCACTCATCTCTGACCAAAAACAGGCTCATTGGCAATCTCCCTACTGATCTCTGTAGATATCAGTGTCATCAAGAGACTCGGTCGAGTCCAGTCGAGTCTCGCGCCAAGTACAGGCAACCCGTCGTACAGGGCTTAACACTACCCACACTACACAATGCGAATCTCTCCCATATACGTATTCACACACACCATTCTATTCCGGAAAGAGCCCATAATATGGCGGAGCCAATCACTAACCTTCCTTCCTTTCCTTATGGCTGACTCCTCCAATGAGGAGATGTGCCAGAGCCAATCACTAACAAGCCCCACCGTTGGCCGGACACTTACTAGAGGGACTCTAAAGGTTTCGATTTACAAAAAAAAAGATGCTCATAGAATGAAAAAACGATACCTTGTAATAAATTATACATTAGAACCTAATATAAACAGCTAAAATGTAGGACTCATCAATTTGTGTAATCTTTCTTTTACGCATATACCGACATGCATTACCATGACTTATGATAAAAAGGTATAAATATTTCAAGGTGTAAAGAATAGCACGCCATTATACAGTAAATAGAGAATTATATTTTTTCTACAAATTCTATACATAGTAGTCAGATAACGATGCCTTAAATATTTTAGCTTAAGGTCTCTACCATAGAGGAGACCAAACACGAACACCAGGTTCGTATTACGTGTTTAACGTTATTATGATACAATGTTTACTCAAATTCGCATTTAATATGCAGAATTCTATGTATTTATCATATATACAACAGCCGTATTAAAAAGTATATATATTTTGTTTGCTAATCCTTCAATTCATTCGTTTCCTCTGCACCCCAATCATTCAAATCATCACCCCAACCTTCATCATCAACATCAGCTTCACCTGTACCATTAAATGTTTTCATATCAAATAAATTCTTAGTGATAGATACGTCTTCTATGTGTAAAACTTGTGTCTTCTGAATTACTGGTTCCATATCCGTAAAGAAGTCAAATTCATCTTTCATAGGTTGAACAGATTTAGAATGTTTTATATCAAGTTCGGATATGTCAGAAATTATTAATTTTTTTGTATAGTTCTGCTTGTCAGTTTTGGATAAACTGATGGAATTCTCTGAGGCTTGCACATTGACTTGTAACTGCAGTTCTTCGACTATTTCAGTGTTTTCAAGAGCTAGTTCTGAAGTATTGATGTCAGTATTAGAGACTTCCTGAGTTTCCCAATCAGACCAGGTACTTTCTTCTTCAGCAAATATAGATTTTGATTCTATTCCGTCTTCACCACCATCTGGCGACGGTCTTTCTGGTAAATCCAGGATTAAGGTATTTGTATTTGTAGGAACATTTTTAACCTCAATATTTCCTAGAGCGCGTTGTACTTGTGATCTTGACTCTTTTCGCTTTGGAATTTTATTAGGTCGACCGTCCGTAAAAACTTTTCCTCTGCTACCACCAATGACTGCGGCTGCACCCAGGATAGGTACCAGATCTGCCAATGCTCTCAGAGTAGTACTAACCAAGAGATCATTGGTATCCTTGATACCGACTAGAAGTTCGGGTAAAATGTGTGTTTTCAGCTCTTCAGTTTGAAATGCATGACTGAAGGAATTAAAATGTGACAAGAGAAGTAATCTTATCGAAGCATCACGAACACAGAATATCTGTAAGAGTCTGGGTACTAAATGACTCTTAAATGTAGGTAAAGAAAAGAGGCTAGAATCTCTTTCATCCCCATTTTCACCTGTTGATAAACATATAAATGTAAAGAGATACAATATCAAACTCATTGGGTAGATTATAGAAAAACAAGCAATGCTTGTACTATAGGATTTATCTTTTTCTTAATCTTTAGTTTTTACTCTGAAACTTGAGAATTTGCATTAACTTCTACAGCAATAGTATTTCTACATTCTTTTATGTTTTTTTGGATTAACTTTGTTACCTTTTGGCTTCAAGACATGAGGTAACAATTTCTCTTGTGCAGTGAAATCTAACAGTACCATTCGCGATAGTAAAAGCTTCCCTAATTGCTCGGCCACTATTTTTTCAGGAAATCCTTTTAACTGCACAACTAAATTTCTGTAATAAAGACTAATGTTTAAAACAATTTAAGTAATCAGTCAAAGAGTTCACTTACGAAAAAAATTCTTGCTTGTCTAGCTCACTCTTCAGGGGTAATTCCATCAGAAATGCGTGTATCGTTATGAAATCATGTGTAAAGAATGGATGAATAAGTACAGATGATAATTTTGTTCTCAGTGAAGGCTCTACATTTTGTAAATGTCTTTTACATAGTTCTTTAAATTCAGCTAGAGCTGGCACATCATCTAAAAATTATCAAGCATATTTAAACTGTTCATTGAATCTAAAATTATATTTCAATTTACATAATATAAATGAAACTAAATAACTACTTCCATTTCAAATAATATGAAATGTATCAAATACATTGAAATATACTGCTTAAGATGGTACTGGAGCTAATACCATTGTTCTTTAATCGTAAAACTTCCTCAGCAAGTACACCAAATGCAAATTGATCAATAGCAGTAGGTTCCAATAAAACTGCTGACTTGGCTCCATCTTCTTCTGGAGAGATAGCCTTTTCATATCGATAATTCCTTGTCTTTTGCAAATATGCTGGGGTCAACTCTGTAAATCTGCAAAGATATTCCAAGCCACCCAACTTCCAAAATCCTTCAGAAGTCACATAGATGGAACTGCTGCAAACATTATTATGCGAAGCCAGAGCCTTTTCATGAAGAAAAATCAGAGCACGAAGTATACTATGCAGTCCAATACAAATTTGAAGCGTTGTTTGTGTACCAATAGCTTGCACCAGTGGCTTTACTTCCTCAGTTGCAAGGAGAAACTTACTACCTTTATGCCATGAAGATATATACTTCAATATACATGGATGTCGATACAGCATTAAATTCTAAAATACAAAGTTAAACCAAGTTTAGAAAACTATAAAGCACAATGGAAACAACTGAAAAGCTTCAAGCATAATCAGTAAGCTTATGTATAAGTGTCAAAATAAAACGAAAATCCCTGATAACTGGGCATAATTGAAATTACATGTACATGTAAAGTAATACTTTTGCAGTTCTTTCCAAAGGCGATGGGTTTCCAAAACTAGCAGTGGAATGCAGAGAAGGCTCACTAATAAAAACTGATAACTGTTGAGGAGTGGACCCATTCACAGATGCACTGTGATGTAGCCAAAAGTCTGTAATTTCCACAGCTTTTTCGTCAATTTCCAGCCCACCTAGGGCACTTTTCTCATTCCCCATTAAACTGTCGTTAATGAGTATTGATGGTTATATTTTACAACCAATATGTTTTGGAAAAATGATCGCGATCAGGACCGATCACGACCCCTATTAATTTAGTCTTCCTTCCTTCCTTTCCTTATGGCTGACTCCTCCAATGAGGAGATGTGTCAGTAACTAGTCCTAAAGTCAGGTTGGAAAGATTATGCTGGACACTAGATGTTAGAGTGTGTTAGGGTCTTCTTTGAGTAGCCAATCCGATCAGTAAGGCGACACGTCCTGTGGACGAGTATAAGCCTTGTATAACCAGATGAGTAGGGAGATTGCCAATGAGCCTGTTTTTGGTGGTCTCAATTTTTCTCTGGTTTCGGCGCGCCACCTTAGCGGAGGGCCCTCGAAGCAGTTCCACGTTTTTGATTGGTCGTGTATATATAGTAATACTACGCGTGATAATCTGGAGCTGTGTTTTGGCGCGTCGACGCGCCACCTGAACGAGACTCTCGAACTAGTTCCACGTTTTTGATTGGTCCAATGAATTCGTGTGTTCCTTGAGATCCGCGATTTTAAACCGGGTGAACACTCAAATAGGGAGACTTGTATCCACCTTTTTTTTACAGGATATTACATAAACCGTAGTAATAAGGTAGTCAATACTCTTAATAATCATATGAAGCTCTGGAAATAATAGAGTAAGCAAATAAAACTTAAAAAAAACTCTCGAACGTGGGTAACTACACAAATATAAGTTTGCTAAATAATATACCACAATGACTCGATAGCACACGTGCTTGGTGCTGGATTAA